TTAATAAAATACAAATAAAATTTTAAAACTTAATAATTGAAATAAAATTGGTAAATCAGATTATTTGTAAACTTTTATTACTTTTTGACTGAATTAATAACTTTGCTATGCTTAAATATAGCATAGTTGTAGAGAGTATTGAGCTGTATTTAAATATATAGAATTTTAACAATTTTTTTGTAAAGTTTTTAATGAAACTTTATTTGATTAAAAAAAATTTATTTCATTCTACACTGACATTCGAGGAGAATGAAATACGCAAATATAAGTGTAATTAAAAACACTTTATTAAAAAAAACAAAAAAGCAATCAATAATAACAATTAAAAAACAATCAATAATAACAATTAAAAAACAATCAATAATAACAATTAAAAAAATCAATCAAATAAATTAAACTTTTATGTTCTTGTAACGATGTTAAGCCGTTTAGAGGTATTAGATGTTGAGTTGAGTTTTCACTTAGGCACTTTTTGTAGCAATAAAACTCAGCGCCTTTTACGTATCGCTTTAGTATTCATGTTAGCCAAACCTTGCAATTTGAATTTTCAAACTGGTACCATTCCATAATTTGACTTGCTAAAGTTTTGCCCAAAACTTTTCTGCACTTTTTACACTTTGATTGGTTTGCAGCTAATATTTTCGTTGGACTTGTTGCTTGGTTTATTTGCTGTTCTCCATTAGAGCTAAGCTTAGGTTGTATTTTAGCTTTGCTGCTTTTTTGCTCTTATTATCTTTCAACCTTTCAAGTATGCAACATATATGCAACATATGCTGATGCTAGATGTTGTTGGTGTAGATTCAGAAGGCAGTGGCTGAGGTAGTGTAGTTCCTGGTGCTAGATTTGGTGATGGCACTATCATAGATTCTGGTTGTTGAGATGATGAAGGCTCAGGTTCAAATCTCGGTGTTGTGTATTAAAAATGTATTAGAAATTTGCCACTTTGACTGATAGATTTTATCGATGTCGAGTGGAAACAAGCCAGTATTCTGAAACCCAGTGACTATCTGGGTACATGTAAAAACTTCACCAGAGCTGAAAAGTTTTTTTTGCAGATGACTGAAACATTCTTTTGATAAACTTTGTCTCTGATAAATCTGTTGAAGTAATTTGCGCCAAACTCTTTTGTCATGGCAATAAAAACCAACATCTAGTGGCTGTAGAATGTGTGACGAGTGAGTTGGTAAGCAAATTAACAAGAGAGTAACTAGCGAATTTCATTCATTTATTAAAACCATTTTATAAAAGCAGTAAGTAAAAGTCATTTAAATTCAGTTAGAAAAAATTTGTTCATTGAAATTTATACAAAAAATTTATAGTTGGAGATTTATTGGTCACTTGTTTCCAACACTCAGTTTCCGTTTCTAACTCATAACTTTTTTTTCTAAATATCAAATTTATTTTTGAAAAAAGATTTTTGATTAGCGTAAAAAGTTGTACCAATAAACATTTTAAGCTCAATGATACCGAATTTAATTTCCAAGAGTTTTAAGTTCCCTTTTCAAACAAATAAAAAAAATCTTATTACGCATTCGAAAACTTATAAATTTATAACAAAATTTTTTTATCAAAATTAAAATTTTATACAATCTTACTCAGAAAAATATTCTCTACAATATAATCAAAAAATATTTACAAAAAAATAATTTAATAGTTAATTAAAAGCGAAAGAATAAACATTGTCATAACTATTTTGTTCTACCCGCTATTTCATTTTATTTTATTCTGTTTTACTCTATTCCTTATTGTATTGTTTTTTTTACTTACTTGAAAAACTAATAATTACAATAAGTAAACAATGAAATCACATTGAATGTATATGTTTTCTATAAACATTTTTATTTATGTGCCAACTTAAAATTTTAACATGGGAAATAAAATTAGTAATAAAGTATTTATAGTCCTGTGTATATAGTTCAGTTAATCACTGGTCGAACACCAGTTAACTCAAACTTTTATTATCTTGAATTGTTTCATTTTGTCCCTTGAAATCATCTAATCGAATACTATTAAAATTCTCCATTTAAGTTGAACCTTGCATAACTCGAACTTTTATATATGTATATCTATATATATATATATATATATATATATATATATATATATATATATATATATATATATATATATATATATATATATATATATATATATATATATATATATATATATATATATATATAAGCCAAGTCTAAAGATATTGTTTAAACTGTAAGATAAAAGAAGCAATTAATGTTATAAAAACCACTTATGAAATTTTAATGAGGATTACATTAAAACGCATGACAATTACATTTGATAATATTTACAAATGTAATAAGTAAAGAAAAAAAGAAAAAAAAAATTTTTTTATTAACCAAACTTTCCATTGAAAAAATTCAAAAAAAAAAATTATATCTTTTTTTTTAATTATATGACCCGTAAAAAAAAAAATTATAAACAAAACATAATAAAAAAACTTTTATTTATCATCTGCAAGCCTAAAAATGATAACTAAAACAATTTCACAAACAATAACAAATATAATTTACCAAATTAAAAAAAAAATGAATAAATAAAAAATTATCAGCTTAAAAATAGTACACATTAAACTTTATTTTACATTAGCTTTTGATTTTAATTTTTTTGTTTGTTTTGTTATGATTGATTTGATCAAAAAAATTAATTATGTTAAACTTTCAATTTTTTTATAACTAAAAAAACTTTTTTTATGGATATGAATCTATTGTTAATTTTTCAAAATAATATTTTGAGGGAGTTATCCTTGTTATCAAGAATAAATATACTTGATAACATTATTAAGAACGAATATTTGATAAAACTCATTTGATCTAAACACTGTTATAAGTATTTACGCTTGAAGTAATATGGCTCTTGCAATGTCTTTGTTTGTATTTATAAGTTTTTTTTGAAAAAAATAACAATTTAGAAAAATAATATTTTATAATAGTTACATCAGCTTTATATAATTAACAGTGTGCAATATCAAAAAAGTCAAAACAGAAACTTTCTTATAATTTAGAATAGATTTTGATTAAAAAAGTTTTAAAATAATTTAGAAAAGATTTTTTTTCCTCCTCCTTTTAGAAACTATTTTATAGGAAAAATTAAATTCCTTGCAAACATGTTATAACTTATAACAATGCATCAAAAATATTTATAAAACGTATGTTTAACTTTTTTTGTTATAAGGCAAGTGAAAGCACAATAGTATATATTTTTTAACAAAAACTAGAAAACTAGGTACTAGAAGTGGTACTAGAAAACTTAAACCTTTGTTTGTCACAAAAAAAATATTACTTTTTTTGCAACAAGTAATATTTTTTGTTTGTTAAAATTTCTTTAAAAGTAAAAAATCATTATTATTTACAAAGCCACAATTTTAAGAAATAATGAAATTAAAAAAAAAAATTAACATACTTTAATTCATATACAAATATAAAAAATCATTTAAAATTATTTTATTTTCTAAATCCATTTTATTTAAAACAAGGCCTATATATATATATATATATATATATATATATATATATATATATATATATATATATATATATATATATATATATATATATATATATATATATATATATATATATATATATATATATATATATATATATATATATATATATATATATATATATATATATATATATATATATATATATATATATATATATATATATATATATATATATATATATATATATATATATATATATATATATATATATATATATATATATATATATATTGAAGAATTGCCTGTATATATATATATATATATACAGGCAATTCTTGATCTGCAGATAGGCAAAATATTAGTTTTTAAAAAAATCTACTTTTATTGATGCAAAAAGTTATTTTTAATGTTGTTCAAAGACCATATTTGTGGTACTAAAACTATTGTACTAAGAGGTTGGTCTGCATTCTCCAAAACAGTTCAACACAATATTCAAAAAGCAAACAAAAAGTACTAGGGGCCTAAACTTGACAAACTTTTAGATATTTCTTTTTGCAAATGCAGAAGTTTAGCGAGGATGATACCTCTTGCTAAGAATCTTGCAATGACTGTGCACATTGTCTAAACAAATGTGATTTAATGATAAAAATTCCACAAAAAGATCTGATTTGAATATCCAGCAAGAGCAACAAGGCAGTGTTTCATCTTTGGAAGAAAATGGTCAAGATGTTAAAGAGGCTGCCAAATGATAATTCAAAAACTTAAGCAAGTCAATTTATCTAACTTACACAAGTAACATTTTATCTATCCACTGTTAGATTTGGTGCATAAAATATGGGTGCTGCAACAGAAATAAATAATTCCCGTGTTGGTCAGTGATAGTGATAAAGTGATAGCAAAGTTTGAAGCCACCAAAGAAGTTTGAACTCTGAAATTTAAAGCAAAAAAAACTTTTTAGTTTTATTTGCTCCATCATATTGCAGAAAAACATGAGGGGGCCAACTTTGTCAGAGAAAGAATGGAAAATACAGATGTTCTTTGAGATTAAAGTAAAGAATGACATTAAACACGGTTATCTTTTAAAACTATTTTGACTATGGGAAGAGCAAGATAACAGAATTAAAACCTCTAAACAATATCTAAAAGAGAACCTTGTAAAAAAATTTGGATCATCCTAAAAATATATAAACAGATGCTATTTGTCGTCCTCATAATATTAGCACGGCTGGAAGTAAACAAGGCTCTATTGTGTGTGAGACCTTTTAATGTTCCAAACAACAAATTTATTGATTGAAAAAAAAAGTTTCACATCAATAGAGTCATGTTCACTTCCAGTAGTTACCGTGAAAACTGGTTCATTACTGAAACATATTATATACATACATACAAACCATTACTATATATCATATATAATCAACACATTATATACATACATATGTTATAAATAATAAAGTTACTAATAGTAGCATTATAGTTAGCTCTATAGCTCTATAGTGAGCAAGTTCTTCTTTAAAAAATTATGTAACATACCAACCTTTTACAAGTAGATTATGTCCTCCTAATACAAATGTATCTGTTCCTTGTGGAAGTGGAGTTTTTGAAGTATCCAGAAAAACACTATGTGTATCAAATGATAGTTTTTGTCCAGTAAATATTGCACCCAAGGATTCTCTGGATAAAAAAATTTGAATTAAAAAACAAATCAATAATTATTTTTGACACTGACACCCTTTATTAATTTATAATTATAATTAATGTTATTTTTAATTAATTGAGGCACAAGATAGAAAGTTATCAAGCCTATACAATGGAGTTATTGACACAGTTGCATTGAATTGATAAATAAGCTACAAGACAAAAGCTTGATAGCATCAACGTTTTAAAAATGAAAAGAGCAAAATGAATTTGAAAATTTGAGATTTTTAATTTCAGACTTTATAACTGAATAACTTTCATATAGTAACAACGTTAGTGTATTTATACATTTTTATGTTTGTAATGAAATGAAAACTATTCCCAATAAATATTTTTCAAGATATTAACACAAATTAAAGTTTTTCTTCTAAATAGTGTCAATATGAAAAGGTACAAAGTTTGTCTTTGCTGTCTTTACTGTCTTGCTGTCTTACTGCTGCTACTGGAAGAATCAGCAATTTGATTCCTAAAGTAATCACAAAAAGCATCAGTGAAATCCGAAGGATGAAATTTATGGGTACCAAATTTGTTTAACAGTACTGCTAAATTATTATTGGATCCATTAATTAGTACTGCTGGTACCATTAATTAGTACTGGTACCATTAATTAGTACCATTAATTAGTACTGGATCCATTAACAGTACTGCTAAATTATTATTGTGATCCATTAATTAATATGAGACTGTTGTTAGAAATTGCACATCCATTCAACATGGCATAAAAAAATATTATTATACGGATTAAAAAGCAAATAATTTTTATAGACTAGCTACCTTTTCATAACAGTTTGAAAAGTGCTTTGAAAATTTAAAAACTCAACTTTTGAATCTAAACATATAAGTCAACTTCAAACTTTTAACCTACTTTCATAAAATTGCTTATATCTCCAAATTTAGAAATATAAAGTTGGCACTTTTACCATCTTGCACCTAAATTATTTAAAAATTTCAATGAGTTTTTTTGAGTAATCAAATATCCTTTCCCAGATTTTCCTTTAATAAAATAAGCAAGCTTTGAACTTGAAATTTTTGAATTTCAGACTCATTAACTGCACTAATGCATCATGGCAAATATTATTACTTTTTAATCTGACAAACTATATTGACCAATATTGCACATTGTAAATGCATCAAGATCAATCATACACAACCAAAAATAGTTCAACATAAATTGATTAAGACAAAAGCTATAACACACAATTAAAAGTATTCTTTTAACTGTTTATTATTATGGCAGAAATAACAAAAAAGGTGCTACTTTTATTTCCAGCGTAAAAATTGAATTGCAAACTTTTTGGATCTTGAGTAAGCACTCTAATTGCTAAGAGAGGAGATGATAATCAGATGAATGTGTGGTCTGACACTAAAAAGACATGAAAAGAAAGATCTTAGACAAAGATTAGGAGTAGTGAGTGTATCAGACAAGGCTAAGACAAGGTAAAATACTATACTCTTTTTAATTTACATTAACTTCTAAGGTGGCATTGTTCATTGATGATACAACCATTTATTCTTGTCTTGATAAGAACCCAACACTTTCTGATTGCTTAGAAGGGGAATTTGAGCTTGAAAAGGATCTCACTTCTGCTACAGCATGGGGCTCACAGTAGCTGGTATACTTTAATTCAGATAAAATCTAATTTTTTTTAACCAAATATTATCCCAATAATTTTGCTCTTTCTTTATTTATGAACAGTAAAGTACTTGATGAGTCATCTACCTTTAATCTTCTAGGATTAACTCTTACTTCCGATCTTTCTTGGAAACCATATACCAAATCCATTTCAAAATTAGCATCTGCTTAACGTTGCATCTCTTTCTCATGCTTAACACTTTCTTATTCCGGATTCTATTCTTTATTTATATAAATCTCAAATCCGTCCTTGTATGGAATACTGTTGCCATATCAGGGGCGGATCTTTAAATGATGCCCTTTCTCTTTTAGACAAGGTGCAAAAACGCATTTTAAACATATTTGGACCTGCTCTTGCAGCCATCCTCCAACCATTATCACACTGTCATAATGTTGCTTCTCTTTTTTTTTTCTACAAATGCTATAACTGGCACTGCTCTAAAGCTAGCATCTTGGACCATCTACTAAAATTCATTCTCATGCTACTCATCACTCAATTGAGTCTCATTCTTTTACTGTGACTGTTCCTAAGTGCTCTAAAAACTCTTATTCATCTAGTTTTTTTCCTCAAACATCAGTTCTTTGGAATTCACTTCCTTCATCTTGCTTTCCTGATTCATTGATTTATTCCTTGTTCTATAAACTTCTTCCAGTAACTTTCAACTATAATAGCAGTTGCTGGAAGTCTTGCTGAAAGCGAAGATGTTGAAAAAAAAAAAAAAACTTGGAGAGTGCATTACATATGGTATGAACAGGTTTCAGTTAAGCAGATTTTATATTATAGAAGCAGCATAAATTGGGGAGGCTAAAGCAATGATGATTACAATGATGATGATGATTGTGATAATGATAATCTTTTCTTTCATTATTATACATTTTTTTAAATCTTTTTCTGAAAATGCCTAATGCTATGAAGGAAACAATTTGTTATCTATGTACGCTAAAGTAGATTGTGGTACTTACAAAATATAGTTTTGGTTTGCAAAAATTTACAGTTTACCCACTACCTAAATTTTAGAAAAAAGAATTTTAGAAAAAAGAATTTTTGAGAAAAGAATTTTAGAGAAAAGAATTTCAACTAATGGGATTGACTATGGGGAATCATGAGCATTAAACTTTATTTTAAAAAAATTTATTATTTCAAAAATTTTATATTTAAAAATTAATCAAAATTTTGATAAAATAATGGAAACTACTAAGCGCTTTTTAGCACTAACATATCAGTGAAAGAGACTCATAAGCTTTTTTTATAAAAACTTTGCAAAAAGTTGTGCCAGATACTCTTACACAGACTCTGTGTGTTCACCCAAGTATACCGCAGCAGAGTATCTGACATAAATTGTTTCTGGCACATCTCTAGATGACACAAATAATAAATTATTTTTCGTGTGCATGTGTACTTTTACTCTTGTAAACTAACATACTTCAAAATTTTTCCTTTCTTTACAGGTATTTTAACTGTTTTCTCATCACCATTATCACCATCATTAAAACGTAACGTGAAAAACTTTTGAGATGAATCCTAAAAAAATATATATAAAATAAAGTATATTTTATAAATAATAAATTATGAAAATAACTACTTGAAAAAAAAAACATATTATATAATAGTACTCAACGATTATCAAAGAATTTTACATTATCAAATCATTATCATAATACCATCAAGAAATTAAAAAAGAAAACAGTTAATATAAATTAGGAAATTTAAGTTAATTATAAAAAAAAACTTTTATTCCTTAAATTAGATATATACTATGAACATTTAAAAAAATAGCTATAAATTAAAGGTTGTATAAAAAAAAAGGTTTTTTGCATACTTTATAGTATTTATAGTTGTTTAAATTTTTCAGACAAAATTTTTAGTGATCTCTACATTAAAAAGCTTACTCCATTATCAACGGAATCCAAGACACTTTGCTAACATATTCACTCACACTATTTTTCAGAAAAAAAGCTTTGGATTTTTTCAAATTTCAAAGTTAATGCCTTAATAGGTAGCTAAAAATTATTTCAGCATAGATATAAAATCTCTTAACATAGGTGTGAAATCTATATAATATAAAATAATATATATTAAGTATGACATCACATTGCCATATATTGTTTTTAGGCCATTTTCCCTGTTTACCTTGTTATCTAAAATTACTTTTTAAAGTTTTTTGAAGTCAAAAGGAATTTGGTTTGCAGTTGTTTAATACTCTTCCTAACTTCATCTTCTGAACTTTATAATTTCTTTTTCTCTCATTTTATCTTGAACATTATTTTGTTATCTTATCTTGAACATTATACAGAACACTTATATACTAGAGTGTCCCAGAAAAAAAATTTGTTGAAAACTATGGCAATCCTCCTTATTGGGTCTCAGTAGAAAAAGGTGAATAGAAAAAAAAATTGTTTAAATTGCGATGAGATTGGAGAATATTTTTACATTTTATGATTGAAGTTCTTGATTATTTTGTAAAAATAATGGCTATTACTCAATATTTTTATAAAATAATTAAATTAAATTAAAGTACATTGTCCAATTCACTAATTCTGACAGATTGGTTGCTTAATTACTGAATTTAGAAAAAATTTTATTATTTTAAAAATGATTTTACTTAATTTTTGTTGGAAAAAATACATTTAAAAAACAAAATATTGTGAAAAAGTTTTTTGTTTGAACCTTCTTTAAGTCTTGTTTTGATATCTTCTGCTGGTTGGGTTGTCTATAACCCCTATCATTGTGTTTTAGATCTGGTCTTCCAAATATTTAGACACTTTTTAATTGTTGTCTATAACCACCACCACCATGCTTTTTAGCCAGTTTTCCGAATGTGTTCTACATATGAAATCCTGTACTAAGAAAAGTGGATCTATCATGATCATAGATAATATCATGGATGTTCTAAGATGTTGATTGACTAGAGCCTGAGCTGCTAGTGGGCTCTTCAGGAAGAAAAGATAAAAGATCACTATATAACGTGTTTCATCCTGTAGAATTTAAATGTCAATCACACTGAGGTGCTTTATGTAATTCCTAGTTATTTACAAGAACCTTGCTTTATGATGTGTCACATGTTGCATAAATTTGAAATTTTGAAAATCTGCTCCAAGGTAAAAAGCAACCATTTAATAAAAAATACTTGTTATTTCTCCTGTCAAAATTTTTTTTCAAGAGACGCTTTGAAGAACTTCCTTGTTTTAATTGCAAGATTGTAAAAGAGTGTTCGAACTCAGGAACAAACTCAGGTATGTTTCAATTGAATTTTTCAAAGTTACCTAGTGTATTCACACTATTCAAATTTTCAGTCTTTGATCATAGATCTTGATACTTTTTGTATGAGGGTTGACTGGGTGCCTTGGTTCCTGTATTTCTATCATGACATGGTGAACATGCAGTTAAATTATAATAGTGGCTAAAATAGATTACATTTATTTTCTGTCATTAGTCTCTTTATAATTAAAGTATTGACTGCAATTTGTATAGTATAAATTATATCAACACAGTAGCCCAAGGGCTGGACTAAATGAGAATAAAGGGAATATTTCAAAAACCTTTTTTTCAGATAGCGAGAAAAAAAGATTTTTTCTGGCTAGCTGAAACTTTCTGGAAATGTTTATCATGTCATTATATATCTACCCCCTCTATCTTAACCCCTATTTTTGTTCTTGTAATAGTGACAACAACATTGCTGTTTCAGCTCTTACACTAACTTGATACCTAAGAAAAAGCAGAGTATTTCACACAAAAAAAAATCATTAAAATTTTGATTTAGTTTCTCTTTTAAAATTATTGTAAACAGCAATCAACGTCTCCTAATCTGATCAATTGTTATAGACTAGTATTTGGTTCTGTAATAATTTTCCTGTCAATATTAGTAAGCTCTGTATTAATAGAATCTAGATTTAGAAATATATCACTTTTTGTAAACTGTGTTAATATGTTGGTAAATTTCATGAACAAACAAGGAAAAATCAAAACAAAAGAATTTGAAATGTGAAACATCAACTTCTAACTATTACAATGTTTAAGAAATCATCTTCGAAATTTTACATTTAGTGAAACTAGTGATGTACAGTTTGTCTGCAATATACACAACATGCAACATACATTTTACACTAACTTAAACTACTTTAACAATTTATTTTATTGTAAGATCATTTGATTCACCAGAGATGTAAGGATCAACATTGATTTGCAAGCGCATGTATTCATTTTGTCTAATACAATTTGACAATTTTAAAGTCAAACAAGTGCATTTATGCTGTTTTATGCTACTTAAAGTTGTCTTGGAATTGCTAGCAACAGCTATTTAAGCAAAATAAACTATTTGAGTAATTTCAGCCACTGTTAATTTTTGCTTCTGGTTGTAATATACAAATTTCCTCATGTCTTGACTGGAAGGAAGGTGTATAAACAAAATATACTTGTGACAACAACTAGTAAAAATAACAAATACTATAGTTATAAAGTATCAATAATAATAATTAGGCTCTGCTTTCCAAACTAAAAAAATCCACATTATGGCATAATAAAAATTAAATAAATGCTATTGATGTAATAACTTAAAAAATAAAATATTTTTATTAATTTATTATTAATAACTGTTATTTGATATTTAATACATACTGCTGTCTTAAATTTGTACTACCATTGTACTATGCCAGAGGTGTACACTAGATTTTTAGATGTTTGAGTTTTGACACTGACTTGTTTGTGCTAACTCCAAATTTTTTTATGTTCATGCTAATGTCAAATGAATAGAGAGAATGTTCTGCAAAGAATTGTGGTAATTGGAGCGCGGAACAAAAAAACGTTTTTGTTCCTGCTAAGTTTTTGGCCCACTCAGCCCTTAACGTAAGAGCAAACAGTTTATAAAACAGTTTCTATACTATTTTTATCTAAATTTATATTCATCAACAATTTTCATGCAATAATCTCTTATTTTTCTATAATTATGACCATATTAAAGGTTTAACTCCCCTCAATTTGAGGGAGCTGTAAACTTTGCAGGGTCATAAAAACTGAATACTAACAGATTATTGCATGAAATTTGAACTTGTTGATAAATATAAACTTAAATAAAAATATTAAGGAAAATATTTTATAAACTTGTTGTTCCCACGTTAAGGACTGAGTGAGCCCATGGAATTATGTTGAATGAAAGTCTTTTTTATAAATCTCATTATTCTTATTTACAGACAAAATTAAATAGATCTGTTTGCAATGCCACTATGCCAATTGCATGTTGGTCAAAGTACAAAACTTTGTAAACTGTAAATTTAAAAGTAGAAAACTTTTAAAGTGCAAATAGAATTTTAGATTCTTACTTAAGATATGCCTGCCAAGATATGCGATATTGTTTGTGTTCAAGTTTTTATTGTTTCATTGTAATAAAATGGTGATTATCTTTACATTTTTATTTAAACATATTGTTTGTGTTCAAGTGTACTTTGCTTATTAGGAATAATAAATATTAGTATTTAAGATTTCTTCTATTTAAGTGCTTAAATTATAATTCATCATTATAGTTTTATATATATATATCAATTGTTTGTTTGTAAATGATTATGGAGCTTGTTATAAACAATCATATACCCTGTAAGAAATCTGATTCAAGATAATGACAGGAATGATCATAAATTACTTGTAAAACGAACAAATTTGAAAGAAGAACAAACTACTAGTATATGCACACACCATCATGATATGTTAATAGTGAAATATGAGAATAATCAGAAAAGTTGCTGTAATGACTCACAAAAAATCGTGTAAAGGTAAAAGTTCATATATTTACATTTTAATGGGTAATACCATTCTTAATAAGTTGATTAAAAGTTTTTGTAATAGGATTTGTTCATTGATTTATAATAATTAATTAATGTTATAGTATTTAAGTAATACAGATTCTTTTCATTTACATTTTCTTTTCAGCATCTCTATGTGTGATGACTATGCATACTGAGTTAAAAGCACAAACCGCAGGTTTAAATCTTATACCTGGAAAAAAGTTCTGTCTTAGTAGAGTTATAAAATGTTTATTAAAAAACAAGAGTGAAAATAAAAATTATGAAGATTTTGATATTGTTACTAAAACATCCATTCAAAATAAAAAAGAGGGTGTAAATACACACTTTACAGCTGCTGGAGTATCTACTATTGCATAAGTCAGGTAAAATTAGAGAAAGTAAACAAAAATTAACAGCATTAACAATCACTTTAAAATAAAAAATGTAGCCACTTTCCTTAATATATCAGAAAAATGTTTTGAAGAACAGTCAAGTTTTGGTAATGAGTACATGGAAAAAGCAAACTTGTTTGATAACATGATGTAATTATTAACATGTTGTAATAAAATAACTATTAAACTAATAAAAATGCAGAGTCTACAGCAACATCTAAAAAAATTCAACTGTCAACGCTTGCTCCTACTGACTGGTAAATAAAAAAAGTTTTTGAAACACCGCATGTAACAAACTATGTAGCTCAAACTGCACGTAAGTTAGCATTAGAAAAAGATATTTTAGCCATGCCTA